CTGCATGTCTTTCTTCTTATTATGCTTTAAAGCAGCCAACAACCGAGGGCGAATCATTGAAAAAGCCTCCTTCATTTCCTGGGCCACGCGTTCACGCTTTAAAATTCTTCCCAATTCTGCTTTTATCTAAAGAAAGTTAAAAAAAATATAGCTAATAACAATTAAAGCAACTACGACACTACACTTCCTGTCATTTTGCCACTTATATTTCGAGTATACCTATGCGTACGTGATTTGTTGTTATATTGCTGTTTTCCTACCTCACTGCCATTTCCCCTGGTCAAGGGTGGATAATTCTTCAGAGTTTTCCATACCCTCTCGTTGTCCTCCAGAATAGTTTTTCTCCTTTTAGGAAACGTGCCATCCATCAGTTGTCGAACAAGCATCACATCCTGTTTGTTAGTCTTGCAAAAGGCTTTGAGCTGCGAATGCTGCTCATTGACAGTTTCCTCTGTTTCACCTGCTGGGATCAGTGGAATCTCGGACGATTCCAAAAGCTTTCGTTTTCGACCTGGCTTTCTCTTCTCATAAACTTTCCAGAAGCTTCAACGTTTCTTTTATGCTGTACCAAAAGTTAATACGTGTACATTATCTGGTGACCAGAAGGATCGTGCAAGGGATTTCCTTTGATGGAGTTAGTGGGCATGTTCTTCCGTTCTATGAATATACTTGTATTTCTTTGCATGCAGATTATTTTTATATGTCCAGTATATTATAGCAGGAGTAGAGAAATGGAACCATGGGAAATTATCAGACCTTATACAGTAGTTTTTTACCTCTCGAGCATCCCTTCGCCCCACATTTAAAAGTCTATCCCTTATTTTCTTTGCCCAGAATTGCTACAAACATAAATTAGACACAGTAATAGAACAAGTATTGTAGCACTATATATATAGATATGACACTTAATAATAAATTTATGCCTGAAAGGGTTCAAAATTGAACTTTTTTGTCTGTATCCAACCTTAGTATGTATGGAATCTAGGATTCATTGCATGCATTTTTGAATTATAGTATTCTAGATTTGTATAATATAGATATTAATTGCACAAGTCTCATAATTCATTTTTTTAAAAAGCAAGTGCAACATAAACTCCACTTTTTCAATAATGAGTTATTATGGATGGTATGGTTCTAATTAATATGCTACCAAGCCTGCAAACTATAAACATTCAACTGACTGCACTTTGAATGCATGCAAGAACATTTCTAAACCACATTGCATTTGTTCAGGTTTATCTAGATATGTGCAGTACATATTAACAGATGGGGCTATAATGTGAACCAACTATACCTAGCAAAATATAGCAATTCATGGCAATAACATAGAATCAAAAAGCAAGGTTGTTTACCATCATTGCACATTTTCCACAAATTGATATACCAGTCATATTGCCCGGGCAAAATTCATCCATATTCATATTATCAAAACCATGTATTATGTTATACTTACATGACCAGTTCCAAAGGATCCAATCAAACAAGGGTATTTTTGAATAAGCATTATAGCAACTTGGTTCCTCTCAGCTGCAGTTAATTGACCTGAATGCTGTGCCATAATAGACATACACAATTGTCGATTCAGTGCACTTTTCTGTTCAGGTGTAAGCTGGCCAGCTTTCAGTGCATTTTCCACATTTGGTTCCCACTGCAGTATTTCAAAAAAATTCATTTCATTAGCCTACAATTTAGTTGGATGATTAGCCTAATAACTAATTTAAAATATGGCTCATCTGTCTATATACAATATACATGCATGCACCTCATCCATATAAGACCCGTGTGGACACATACAATACTGCATACAATGATTGCATTAATTAGCAGGTTTAACTATTATAGGCCTTGAAAAAACTAATTATATGATAACATATTTCATGCCATGCACACATTTCAAGTTTACTACAACATATTTTGAGCAAAGATACATGCAAAATATGATCAGTCACTAAATGATCAATAATTAATTGGCCTAGCTAATAACAAATTTTAGTGCTCACAATTAATCTAACTGACTGATCAAATTTAGTGTGCTTTATATGGAAAAAAATATTATCCTGATGTCATATTAAAAACATATAATTTAGTTACATGCACAATTACCCTGGAAGGAATTTTGAAATTCTTGATCCATGAATGAGGGGAAAGCAAACTTTTTGAGGAATTTGAAGTGGTCTACAATCAGAGTTGAATTAATGCTTATCAGTTATCAGTATGCATCATGCATGCAGTCAAAAATAAAACACAAATAACCTATTAATTACAATTAAGCATTTACACAAATTTCAATGCAGCCACTGAATTAATTGATGATCATTGATCTGTACGTAAAATGCACTGAAGGTGCATTCAAAAGCATTTATTAACACAGATTATCTCTTAATTGTATATTAGAAACACACATTGGAAAATCACCTTATTGCATGGACTGGTTTCAGTGACCTCTTTACTCGCTTGTATTAGCGTTGCAGGCTGGAAAACATCAAATACTTCAGAACATTATCAGGTCCCAGCAATAGACCCATAGTTTCTGTGATGGTGGTGCATGTATATTAATTATACTTTATAAGTTTATCAAATTACTAACCTCAACTGGCTTGTCACAATGAACTGAGTCGAAGATAGACCCAGTTTCTTTCGCAGGTGTAGCCTTATAATGTAAATGTTCAAAATTTATGCAGTTATGGCAATAAAATCATGCAGCATATCACTGATCATTAGTTACAAAATGCAGCATATTCATGTATGTGTAGCATGAAAATGAGTCAGAGTCTCAGTTAAAAAGCAGGCACAAAAACCACCCAGAATCACATAGATTTCTATAATTTTAAATGTTAAAACCAACTCATACCATTGTGGTAAAAAGGTACCACACTTGTTGCTCAGCAACCTTAGCTCCAGAAATAAACATATATAAAAGTATAGTCCTCACTACTCACTAGGTTTTAGAATTTAGCGTTTTAGGTGATGTTGTGGCAATTTATCGTCTTAGCTAGGTGATGTTGTTGTTTTGCCCGATTCATGTTCATTTTAACACAAATAAAATAATACGACATTAAAAGAATGTATCTATAGCGTACGTACATTAGACTCACTGGAATACCCTGGAAAAGCTGTGCTCCTATCAACTTTTGCACCATTGGAGTCAAATTCCTAGAATTAAAAAAGAATTATTTGTTAAAAGAGACATGTGTGTGTTGTACATAATATATATTATCATTCACTGCATACGGCTTCGGGAGATAACGCCATAATAATTCTCAATATCACGCTCAACCTCTTTCAGTAATTATTTACTATATAGCAAACATAATAATAAACAATAGATAGTATTAAAGACAGATATATAGTAAAAAAAATAATAGAAATATTCCAGCATCATTGAGGTCCAGCTCCCAGTTTGTACTAGTCTTTACTCTTGTAATATCAGTTGCACAAAAAATTAAATATTATATGTATATGTACAACAACAAATACATTTTTAAAAACAGACGAGCTTGGGGTGGTCATGTGACAACTGTCAATCACAATGTAAAAAATAATTCATCTCATTTCAAGCCATTCAAACAGACCCGATCGAGCAAGAATATAAAAATTGTTTTTAGGTTAAAAATGTTTTTAGGTTTTTTATAATCAGTATCACTTACCATGCCGGTAATCGACGTCCACAAGGCTATGAACTTTTTTCGCGTTTTAAAAGTTGGAATGAACTGTTTTATGTCTCTCAGTTCGAGAGCAAAAAAGTCTTCGCCGTCAATTTTGTTATCTGAATAAAATGATAAAATTAGTGAAAGACGTATATACTGTACATATACATCAATTTGCAACGGCGCATAGCAAACCATAGGCAGTAGACACTGCAACTCTCAATGGAGACGAGTATATAAATTGTAAAACAGCAAACAAAATTCAATTCAAAAAAATGCAAAATGCAATATATTTACCAACAAATTCGTCCACCAAATCTGAAAAACCATTCCGTTCTAAAAACAAAACAACGTCTTCCGCACTAGAAGTCTTTTCTAACGACAAAGACATGTTTTTTTCAAGTAAAAAGCTACGAAGAATCAAGCATGAAACAGCTGTCGCGAAGCGCCGAGAAACAGAGAAAGCAAGACTTCACTTTTAGCGCGAATATCCCATGATGACCCGCGTAAAACCATATAAGGAGTCCGCGCAATTTTACAAGGAGTATTGGCTGGACAATTTGAAAGAGAAGCAAGTTATAGTTTTTTGAATATTTTTCGAAAAAAATGTAGCGGAAAAATCACTAATAACCGCATAGTTTTATCAAACAGAATATTCGGGAAAGCAATGAATCGTATTCAATGCCAAGTGTGTGGAGATTTTTTCACTGCAGCTATATCTGATATGGTTAGTCATTTAGTTTTGGTCCACCAGAATGACCCAGGTATTCACATTACCTGTGAAGTACCTGGATGTCAATCTACATTTGGCCGTGTTTTTTCCTATAAAAGTCATCTTCGTCGTAGTCATAACACCATTGATCTCAAGAAGCCGATAACACAACTGGTAGATGCTCATGACGATGCAGAAGGATTTGACAATTTTGAGGGAAATGTTGGGGTAAACCCTCAAAATGGAGTTGCAGATGAATCAGCGGAAACGAAACGTATTAACGCCCTCTACCTATTAAAACTCAAGGAAACCAACTTTCTCACACAAACATCGCTAGATACCGTTGTGCAAGGAACAACTGGGATCGTAAAAAGGACAGTCCAAATGTTAAAAAGGAAGTGGAAAAGAAACTTGAAGCAGGCGGAGTAGATGTTGCTGAAATCGAAGGATTAAGTGACCTATTTGACGAAGATCATCCTTTTCGAACCCTATGGCCCACGTCGAAACGAAACATCAGCAAACAGCATTTCACAAAACTAATTTTTCATTAGTGGTGAGTGAAAGGTTTTGTGGGAAAGGCGGGTGCATTCCCTCCCTTTGATAGAAAACGGAGCTGTCCTCCCCTGAGTGTCGGCCCCAGAGGCAAAGTAGATAAAACATGCTTTTGTACGTATTCATTTTCTCACCTAAGGAACCAACTCGAATATTACTTGGTCATGTTTCAAAGAGAAGGAGAGTTGGAACGGGGTACAATGAAGTTTTGGCTAATGAGGAATTTGCTTATGTCCCCTTATTGGAATCTTTAGAACAGTTGCTAAACCAACCATCTGTTCTTATACAGGTAAGTCCTTAACCACAGTCCATACTGTATATGTAATACTATATTTTCATAGTCTATAGTTCATAAAAATTACCCCTAATCCGGGGCGCCGGAACAACGGGGGCAGTCACCCCCACTGCCCTTCAATTTGCCTACCAGGGAGAGAGGGGCAAGCCTTGAGCCTTTTGCTTAATCACCATTTAATCATGATGCCTACTTTCGCATTGAAACTAACCGATGATATTATTGAAATGTATTCGCATGCTTGTAAATTTAAGTTTCATCTTCGTGCGGTTGCTATAGTGACATGAATGTGCCCTTTTCTAAAACTCCGCCCCGCCGCCCTAAACTGCTTCAGGAACCTCTGTTCCTAATACTAATTAAATAATCTATTTTTCCATGAATTTTCACTACTAGGTTTTAAACGGACATGCAAGCACCGATGGCTACATGAGAGATTTCTGCGATGGCCAGTTATATAGATGCCACCCCTTACTATTAAGAAATCCACAAGCAATTCAAATAATTTTATATTATGATGAATTAGAAATTGTTAATCCACTCGGAAGTAAGACTGGAAAGCACAAACTTGGTAATTACACTCATACAATATTTTCAATTTCCAGTAAACATTCTACACATTAGCATACTGTATAAGAATATTTTGCGAGCATTAGCTGTATCTTTCCCCGCACTTAGTGCCGACTGCTCAATTTGCGTTACTTGTAGGTGCTTTCTACTACACATTGGCCAACATACACCCTGAACACAGGTCCCAGCTTCAGGCAATCCAACTGGTTGCACTTGTTACTGTGCCCCTTGTTAAAAAGTATGGAATAGATGCCATATTGGAGCCGTTTATGAATGATCTGAAGGAACTTGAGAAGGTAACATGCGTTCCAGCAGATAAATTGAATACAAAATACAATTAGACCTCAAGCTGAAAAATCTCCCGTAGGATGAGGGGCATGGATTTAAAATTGATGGCAGAATACAACGACTACAAGGGACAATCGTTTAACTGCTGTGGCGATAATCTTGGCTCACAACTTCTAGGTGGGTTTAAAGAAGGGCCTGGCTCATATCGAAAGTGCAGAGAGTGCATGGGAACCCTCGAGTTAATAACTTCACAGGTACGAAAAAACAAACCATTTCTTTAATTACTGTAGCCAGAGATTAGCCACGCGGAAAACGAATTCTTATTATAAATATGAGAGCCCGATGGTGAATGCCAAATTATCAATGTTATATGTTTGGCTCTTATATTTATAATAAGAATTATTTCATTACATTAATTTTGGATGCTTGTACTTGTAAAATTAACTAAAAAGTGTCTATGCCATCTGGATCATCCTAAAAATTACTCGCTGTATACCAATTGTACGCCATGGTTCTGTTTGTAATAACGTCTTAGGGTTAATTTTTCTGATTATTCAGTTCCTAGAGAAGTACTTTGAGTTACGTTCTAAGGAAGGTCACAACCATCAGTGCGATCAAATAGAGCTTAATCCCGACCTCTCTGTCACATATGGCGTCAAGCGAAAGTCCAAGTTGTGTGACTCAAATACTACCATGTCATTTGTGGCCTGCCTGGCGATGCTATGCACGACATATTGGAAGGGGTATTGCAGTATGAGTGCAAGGAGATGTTAAAGCACCTGATAAATGGTGAAAAATGTTTCACATTAGAGCAGTTGAATAGTCGAATACAGCTGTTCGACTATGGTTACATGTATGACCGTGACAAGCCCTCACCGTACAGCCACGCACCCTTGCCAGTGACAACAATAGCCTCAAACAAAAGGTATTGCTCAATCTTTAAAAACAGTTTACATTCTATACAACATGACAAAATAAATGATATCAATAGTATTAAGTGCTTAAGGCAAACATTGCCAATCAATAAAAAGATTGATTAATGTGTACAGTAATTGATTGAGGCAGACATCTACTGTAACTTTTAACTACTTGAAATAATTAATAAATGAGTGCAGAGAACTGTTTTTCTGCTAAGTTTGTATTGATTAAACCAAATAATTTGCCTATTAATTTTCTGATTGCTTTGATCGAGATTTAATTTGAGTGCTAATTTTTGTCCATATTTATGTTTAGCGAGCCAAATGTATTGCTTGTCCAAATTCTTACCATTGATGGTTGGTGCACTTGTCCCTGATGATAATGAGCACTGGAAGCTTTTCTGCCTGCTCCTAGATATCGTTGATATTGTTTTTGCAAATATCACTTCTGTGAACGCCATTGGTGTATTGGAGGGGCTAATTGAAGAGCATCATTATACATTTCTTCGAATTTATCCAGGAAGATCAATCATCCCTAAGATGCACTACATGGTTCACTATCCATCCCATATGATGAGGTATATGTACTTTTGTTATATGCTGCAGTTTAAACCTGAAAACAAAGATTAATAATTAATTTCATGAATACTCAATCAAACTACACATGGCAGCAGAAGACACAAACTAGAGGGAGGGTCTCATATTCATACATTCAATGATAGGCAGGAGTGTAAAAACAATCTATTTCTAAGGCAATTAAAAAGACAGAAAATGGATTTAGCATTAAATCATCCCCAATCAATTATGCTCTCTGCCACCCTCGATAGATAATTTTAATCAAGTCCAGCAAATTTACACATAAGTTTATAGTTGTAATACTAACAATTTATATAGTCTGTTATCTTTCACATGTTAGAAAATGAAATTGGCCTTTATTACAAAATTCTAATTATATAATTCAGCACTTCTATACACTGTAACTAATAAATTCAAAAAAAAAAAATATACATATATATATTATATATATATTATTAATTATATTATTATATATTATATATATTATTATTATATATTCAAAAATACATCATCAAATACATGTCACATTGCTGTAGATTTGGACCAATGAAAAGAACATGGTGCATGCGATTCGAAGCTAAACATCGGTATTTTAAACGGTTGGCTTCCTTTATTGGAAATTATAAGAATGTGGCGTACACAATGGCAACCCGTCATCAAGGGCAGCAGTGCTACTATTCAAATGTTAATAAAGAAGGAAGTTCATCATTCCTCCAGCGACCAACTTCAATAGGTAATTATACAATCCAATTCATATAGGTGTATAGAAAATGGTTAATTCACTTACATTTTTGCACTTTTATAGGAAGTGGACAAACAGTTGTAGCTCAGAGAACTGATTACTATGCTGATTTGCAAGCTAAAGAGGGAAACATATTGACTGTTGATACTTTTTATGAGTAAGTAAACTGTATTATTATACTAAATAATGAAAGATCTAACCCTTGGATATTTTGCACACATACATAGTATTAATTTTTTCACAGTACTGGGAGAAAAATACATAATGAATATTACTTTTTAACACCCAGCTTTTATATACATACAATACCGCGATAATGATTGAATATATTTCATTTACCACATGTTTTATAGGTCTCAAAAAGTTACTATCAATGGTACTGATTACATGGTTGGAGCAATTGTAGTCACTGGTTACTTACGTGAGCAGGAGGCACCAGAATTTGGTCTTATTACCAAGATTATATCTCTGCCAAACAAATCCTATTTTCAGTTGAAGAAGTATGTTGCTGTACAGTTCAGTTATCATTTCCATGCCTTTGAAGTAATTGCTGGTGAGGAGCCTCCAACCTTAGTCACCAGTGAAGATCTTTTTATTCACACCCCAATGCATCTAGTTCATCCTATCAGTGCAGAGGGAAGAAATGCTGCTTTTTATGTTGTGATACCTTACAGCATGTCCATTCACACATAACTGATACTATATATATGTATATATCTATGTATATATAACCATGTAGATTAAATGGTTATTAAATGGTGTTAGCAAGAACATGCCAAAAGGATTTCTGTGTTGCAAGCTGGACTGTTACAAAATATTCTCCTGCTATATAGTAATGGTATTATATATATATATATATATATATATATATATATATATATATATATATATATATATATATATATATACTAGTTATAATAGTTGTGCATGAAGTTATATGTCTTAAAGTTATGTCAAAACATACAGTCATGAAGGTCTGTTCAGTGTTCAGACAGGCACACATTCCAAATTTCTGATCCAATGCTGTTTCTCATTATATACTTTTAGGACATAGTTATAAATTTGATACCATCAAAACCATTATTTACCAGGAATGCATTATGGTGCATGTCTTGATTATATATATCCTCGTTCGAATACACTCAGTCAAATAGGGAAATGCGTGTCTGCGGCAACAATGTTTCTACAGTACTCAATTAGACTCATGACAATATTTGGTTCTGTATAGAACACTTCATGGAATAAACATTTGCTAATTTAGTAATTATTGAATCTACACGCACACGTTTTGAAATGTCATTGACACACATTTAACATATGTCCTTCAACCATATTTATAGTTTAAGCGAGTATACAATAAAGTATTAAACAGCTTACTATAAAAGAATAACAAATTCAAAACCACTTACGTTTTAGTTTTTACCCGATGACAATGTCAAACATGACGATATGAGTCAATGACTTTTCTCCGTATGTCTTGTGTATTTCATTTCACCTTTATATAACTTTTCGTCGACAAAAATAAACCATTGCGAATTTTTGTGAACATTGATTAATAATTTGGATCGGCGGAGGTTGCTGGAGGTGTGTCTTGTGATATTAAAAATATCACAGAAGTTTGGAAAGTTAAATTCATTTAATCATGAGTTAACTGATAACTGCACTCCTACGCGAATCCGCCATTTTGAATTTTCAACTAACCAATTGTTAATTGGTCACATTTGTGCCGTCGAATTTATAACTATTTATTAAATAGTTATAAATTGTTAACCAATAATAATCCTTTGTAGTAATCAAAAACAAATGGTTGAATCAACCAATTGCACTTGACCAATAAATTTTAGGTTCGATTAACCAATTTTAATTGGTAGCTAAGAAAAAAATTGGTTATTTTAACAAAATTTTTTAACAGTGTATAGATGCTGTACAACTATAACTACAAAGAGTCAATGGCGTAGCCAGCGTGACGATTTAGTCATGCTATGCAAATTTCATGTTATTAACATTATTGATTTCTTTACAAATTCATTGTTTTCGTAGTTAATTACACCAAAATTGCATAGCGCATGACTGAATTTTTGGACTGGCTACGGCCACTGCAAAGAGTTACATTATTGTTTGCAATTAAACATAGGTTTCCTTCTGTCCCGCGCGTTTGCCAAACCTCGTTGGCTTATTTTTCGTTTCGCCTTGTTCCTTGCCCTCCCAGTGAAAATTCCTTAAAAAAGGCACTGAGAAAATTTGACCGAAAATTCAAGTGTTTGTTTACAAAGCTGCATTCGCATTTAGACTTAGACCGTTATCGCTCTTTCCGTGTTTTTCCGTGTACTAGAATTTCGTCGACGATGTTCTTGACGCCAGTGAGGCCTTCAAGCTGTGTCTATATAAGGCATAATATTATACTAGAATATCTCGGTCGCGGCGTTTGTTCCATAGTTGAGTCGTTTATACAGGAACAAACCGACATATGTGCTGATTGCTGAACGTTGTTATATACCGACTGTTTTCGTCGAGTTCAAGCTGGTGGTAAGCTTGGGAAAGATCTAACTTCGCGAAGCATTTTGCCGTTGGCACGTTGCGCCTTTTAACTCGAAACTAATATCTAATAAACCAAGATGATGCTGAACCAAGATGGAGAAGAGCGAGAATTGAGTCAAATGTCTCGACAGAAGACGCCTGAGGCAGCTCAACTTGGAACAAGCTAAGAATCAATCTCAAGCCGAGAATCGGTCTGTAATTGCGAGCAAGAAGGGAACCGCCCAAGGACATATGACACCTGTTCTCCCAAAGAAAGAGAGATGCCTGGTACAGAGAAAGCAGCCCTATATGTGAAACATCTCGATCGAATTGGAGAACCGCAAGAGGTTGAAAGCTGCAATAATGACCCTCAGCTGGAAGATGAATGGA